CACCCGCGAGCTAACTGCTAGGCCCTGACTGAAACGATTTTTTTTTAAATCATTGACTTCAAGTGCCTGGTTCGTTCTTTCAAATCTTGCCACCCGGGGGTAAAAAAATCTGGTCGTCTGCGATTAGGTAAATGGAACAATTTATCTACAGGTAACTTAAACGTTTTTAACTTACGTCAGTAGCAAAGTACTTATCAGAACAAGGTGCCATTAAGGGAGGGGAGGGAGGGGGAGAGTGCAATCGTTTTCTAGTGAACATAAAAACGGGGTTTAAAATTCGGTGGCAATTGTTGGCATATCCAGGAACAAGGTCGTAGGTTTGAAAGGTTTGGATATCGTGCTGTGGGTGTTAGGCTAATCTTCAGATCAATTCTGTCTGGCACTTTTGCCCAACACAAGTTCTCCTTGGGGTTTTTAAAAGCTTTATTTCAATATGCAATAATATTGCAGTAATAATATTAAAATATTGAAGAATTGTAAATTTTTGTAGAAACAGTAAGGAGAAAGAATCTCTTTGTGATGTCTATCGTTGTACTGGTTTTAACTTTTTTCGCACAAATGTCTTACTTTTTTTTTCTCATGTCTATTTTGGAAAATTAGTCTGTTTACTGACGTCATACAGTCATTAAATTGCTTTACATATATGTCTTTTAAGGTGCATATTAAGTTTCTAAATGTAGAGAAACAAGTAGGTTACTTTATTCTATCAGAGGTGTAGCCATAAATCTAAGCGTTAAGGGAGGTAGGTTTTCTATAGCAGCACCACCTCTATATTTTCTATAAGAAAAAAGATCCGCCTTTTCCCACACATACGCCACAAACACAGATACATTTTAAAAATAATAGTCATTAAAAGGCGAAATTGTATTTCTATATGTTGACGCAGTTCGATTGGGCGCGGCCAACTTAAAAAATAAACACATCAAAGTTTATGAAAGACTTTGTGGAATTTTTATCTGGCCAGATCATTAAATCTCTTTACCGCCAGTAGGGCGTGTCCGCCGATTTAAAATAGATCCGTTATTAAAACGCAGTCGATAACAAAACCATAACGCGTATGGTTGTGTACTTGAAAAACTTCACGGGAAAATAAAATCGATCGGATTTCAACGTTTGTATGTGGGTGGTGAATATGTGTGTGCATGTTCTGTGTAAATAATCTATGTGTTTACTGAGTGTTGATATGGTCGTCCATGGATTAGTAAACACGGGGTTTATGACAGAGGCTTGAGAGGGTGGGGGTGGTGTTAATACATGTGTGGCAATGGGTGGAGGTGTCTGATACACCACGTAACGAATGTTCATGTACTTTAATTTGAAAAAAAATAATACAAAGTTGTTGTTTTTATTTCTGGTATCTCCTGTAATTGTAAATGTTGACAAGCAGTGTTTCTTCCAGACTTTTTTCTCCGGGGGGGCACTTGAAATTTTCGGGGGCGGGGTGGGGGGGGGGGGTGGGGGGGGTGGACTGTTAAAGTATATATTTTCTATATAAATTATATAAATTTCATTTCGTTCGGGGGGGGGGGGGGGGTAAAATTTTTCGGGGGAATGCCCCCCCCCCCCCCCCTGAAGAGATGCCTCGAAGAAACTCTGTTGACAAGGGCGTCAGAATATTATCCTGATTTTTGTCCTTATTGCGACTGACTGGATACAGCATACGGTTGGGTGGGGTGGGGAAGGATGGGTAATTATTTTAAATATTTTCTTCCAACTGTTTAATTAAGGCTTAAGAATAGCAAGTAATTCGATGTGGCTCGTGGCAACATCAATATCCTTTCAAAAGCATTTTTTTTTTAAAAATAGTGTTTTAAAAGCTTTGTAGTGCACCTATTCTCTGCTGAAACATCAACGGCATTGTCAAATTGTACACACTATTAAAAAGCGACAGCAATGTCATATTATACACTTATGAAACAGCAACAGAAATGTCATGCTATACACGCTATTGAAATAGCGACAGCCATGTCGTATCACTAAACTAGAGCAGAGTTTTGGAAACCCTGAATTCGCTTTTATCACAGCAAATAGTGTGTCAAGATTATCGCCCCTGATCTATTCACGACAGTTTAAAACGTCAGCATAGAGCCCCGTCTACTCGACACTGAGTCGGTCTCGAAATAATATTGAATGGTTTTTTTACCACCACAAAAAATTAATTAAATAGTCCTCAAGTAATCTTTTTTTTGGCTTTATTCGTGAGAAAACCTGGCAAGAATATAATGCATTATTGTCAAAACTTAATTTAATTCTGAAAAAAAAGGAATCGCAGGAAATAGAATTTTAAACAATATCCTTAAAGGTTATACACAGTGGGTGTTTTAGTTCAATCTTCTAGCATTTAAATTAGTAATTAGAGTCAGTGCTTAATTATTCACAAAGGCTGGAGGGGAGGGGTGGGTGGATACGTGTGCGGAAGAGCGTAATACTTACGTGTTTTTTTTAACTGTTCAATTCTTCACAAAAAAATTATATATATATATATATATATATATATATATATATATATATATATATATATATATATATATATATATATATATATATATATTATGTGTGTGTGTGTGTGTGCCGAGGGACAGAAAATTTTCATTTTGATTTTTTTTTTAAATGTACAATCTGTCATGTGTTGTGGGTTTTAGTTTTGTGTTTAAATAATACCTTTAGTCTGCTTCTGTTTTTTTTAAATATATGGGCTAATCAATATTCACATTAAGCTCCTTTGCTAAGATAAGACGTCATTGTGGTGGGAGGAAATTGCTTGCTTTCTCTATTCTTCTTGTTATTCTTCTATTAGTTTCCACATATAGTTACTACTGTGACGAGGACGAGAACTCTCATATCCGTACAGTAAATAAGCCAATTCGAATATCAGTTTGATTCACAATATTTTACTTATTATACATCCGATGCTTCACACAATATATATTTGTTGCCTACACCTACTGTTCAAGGTTTCCTACACTATTGTCCCTACACTGTTCCCTAACTCTACACTTGAATCCGTCCTCTCACTACAATGGTCTCAACCTCGACTGCCTAGATTCAACTGTCTCCTAACCCACATCGTCCTCACTTCTTTGTCTTCCCCATCCGGTCTGACCTAATTTGCATGTCGCCACAGTTCTGTCGTACCTGATTAAAATGTCAGACCCTGCTAATAAACTACCCCCATTCCGGTCACCAAGGCTAACTAGATACGTGTCTGCTACACCTACCCCCCACAATGATGTCGCCCGTAATTACAATCTAATTCTAACCCGTGCTTCGTCGATCGTCTCCGTCACGTACACTGTCTATCCTACACCTGCATCTACGCCACCACAGTCATGACCTCATTTGTTCACGTGGATTTGTTATTTCCGCTGACAGTGACATGCAGTGACGCCAGACTGAGGCAGATAAATATTCTGTTTGTGTGCCAAAACAGATACATCTTGGATGAAACACTATTTCAAACAAATGCTCAGTGTCTTTATAAGCATATGCACACAACAATGTAAAGGTTGAGAGTAAATAAAATGTAAACCCCCTCCCCCACCTCAACACACACAAAAGCCAGGCTCTTTGTCTTAATGAAGTTACAAAGCTCAATTATTTCCTCCTAAAAATTACCACCATGTTGACAAAAATGTTTCCCCCTACGACCCCCCCCCCCCCTTCGTCCTCCACGTAACACATAGTCCATCGCAAAAGTCTTAGGGCCTAGCCCTTTTCATATCTATGGAAGACTCCAAAAACCTAGCCCTATCTCATCTATGGAAGACTCACACGGCTTAGCTCTCTCCTCATTCGCGGACAATTCCTCCCACACCAACAAAGTTGTATCCTGTATCAAGCTCGACAGTTGATGAATTTTTGTCTGAGGGTAAAGGGTGTGGGGAGAGGGGAGGGGGGAGAGAGAGAGAGAAGGGCAAGACCCGAAGATACTACTTTTACTAGGCACACAAGATCGCTTGAACGCACGCTATATCTGCTGCATAATCTTTTTTACCATGTGTAAATCAAAAGGCCAAAGTTTTAGTCACCTCATACTCCCTTTTTATTTAAAAAAGCTGATACCTATACACGGACATAGATTTCTTAATCAAGTATTAAAATTGTGAATTATTTGAACGAAAGGTCGCGTTGACCCCAAAAAGCTTTCTTCTCGCTAATCCCCGTATAGAAACGACATTTACTCGAGCTTATTATTGTGAATTGAGTGTGTTTATCTTCATGTGCCCGACAACTGGCTATCTTTTAAACAGCGCCACCTCGTGGCACCGCGACCCAAGGCTAGCAGAAATATAAGGGAGCTAACCGAATGGGATTTAGTGGTTTACTTGCGTTGATAACAAAAGTAGGGTTGAAGTTTAACTGAACGATCGTGTTTTGAATGAGTTATTGGCATTTTCTAAAACAGATATTGATTTTATGATCGCTTCTTCGTATTAAAAAGTATTTAGAGAGTTGAGTTGGAAATAGTTGAGATATTCTGTTGTCACCGGATCTGTGAACTTTCAAGGGCCCGTAATTCGTTTTTTAAAAAGTAAAGACAGACTACTCTTGTTGAAAATTTAAAATATAGTTTTAGTAAACTTTTCACGCTGTCATAGAATTCATGTAGAGCTATTAGTAGAGTAGAAAGGAATTAGGACCAGTTGAGTGCCAATGTCATTGTAGTGACACTAGAAGTATGACGTCATTTATGAATCTCCCCCCCCCCCCCCCCACATAAAGTGCGTGGAAACTGTATTTGGTCTACTGTCAAAATTTTTTTTTTAAAGTTTGTATTAGGAACTAAAGCCACTTGGTGCAAAGATTTTATTCAAATTTACTGTACCATAATTTTTGGTGCTATTTTTGTAAGGAATATGGGAGACAACTCTACGGGTTTTCCAGTTTGCTCTCTGACCATACCATTATATGTTTTTTTCAGCAGTGTCAAAGGTTGAATAAAATAAAAATTAAACACTTCTTCCCTTTGTCACACAAAAATGAATGTTTTTTATTCTTCAGTTTATAATTTTATTTCAATTAGTTCAAAGAACAAGTCAACAATTATGAAGAATGTGATCACGAAAACTGGAGTATACAATTAAAAAATCATAAAACAATAGGCATGAATCAGAAGTATTGGCTTTTAAAATTATGTTACTATTCTAATAAAATTGCTTTTCTTATTAAACATTTTAACACTGTAAGCTCATTATCTACCATTAAAAAAAGGTATATTGGTGTAGAGTGCATTTTAGTTAGTATCCTTCAAAATAATCCTGTAAACAATTTTTAAAAAAAATCATACAACATAAAAAAAAAGGTAAACAAACTGGCACAATGCGCCATAAACTACTTGCTGAATATTAAATGTTTTCACCAAGTCCAATATTTGCCTAGAGACTTTCTCTACTGAATTTAATCATAAATTCCATATACTGTTCTGCTCTAGGGGCAATAACTGTGGGGTTTGTTGTTAACTCCTGTCAAGGGCAGACACTCTTCCTTCATTAGAGTAGCAGCATCACTATAGCATGCTGTGTCCTGAGCTAGCCGAGCATCAAGTAGGTTTTGAGGTGCTCTGCTGGAACTGTCTGACACAGGAGGCCAAGTATTTCCTTTTCCGGCTCATTCTCTGGTCTTTTTCTTTCTTGTGCTGTGACACAGTTTCAGGGGAGTCAGGGGGTGAAAGGCCAGAGGTCAACTTGTAGTAGACAACAGTGGAGTCAAGCTCATTCACAGCCACTGTGATGCTGGAAAATTTAACAAGATAGTGATAGTTTGATAGAACACAGAGAAAACATTTTGAGTATTTGTATAATTAAAATGGACATCTGATAAATACACATACACAAATATGAACATGCTTAGCAAACTTTACTAACAAAGAAATATAATTTATAAAATCTTGAATTTACTTTGTAATGGCTTCCTCATCAACATAGATATTAGAAAAATACTGTTGAATTTCACTGAGAGATACTTTCTCTTCGACGCCCAGTGGCAAAACTGCTTGACGTGCTTCCGATCTGCTTTGTTGCCCAACAACGTAAGGCCGTTCAAAGAGTTCACTGTAAGCAAGCTCTGTAAACCACCAGTTTTTTACTGCAGAAAATAAACTCGTGTCATTCTAACAGTACATTCAACAAATTAAGTTATATAGTAAGACTTACTTATAGGTCAGACAATTCAGAATATTTTGCTGAGAAAATTTTTTTCATTTTTCAGGATTGAAAAGATTAAAGAGTACCTAACTAGCTATGGCAAAAAAATAAAACTGACAAGTATTACCAAACTCTAACTTCAAAATTTAGGTTTTGACACCTATTTTATCCTTATATTACAAAATATTCAAAATTAATTTCTAGGTTTCTGAACAAATGATGTCCCTGGGATGACAACTCTAGTCTAACCCAGCAGTTTATAAACAGAAACATGAATGCAAGTGATATAGTACCGACAGTGCATGTGCTCAAACCATAAAGCAAGATCACAAAAATACTCATTTTGTTAATCTTAAATATTTTTTGCCAAATAACTGCTGGAAATGTTTTCCTTCTCTCGTTTTTACCAGGACTGTCCTACAATTTGAAGCTAAGGATATTTTTAAAATTTCAGGACATATTAAACAATTTCAGGAGAATTCCAGAAGTTTCTAGGCTTAATTGAAGTTTCATGTGGTGTTCAGAACTATTTATAAATAAACACTAAAGACAGACTTGCTAGTATAAACAGTTATCAAACAACCAAATTGTTATCATGTTTACCTTCTGTAAGATCCTGATAAATAAGAAATGCCCTTTGAGCAACATCCTCGTCACACCCAGGGTACTGAAGCAAAAAGTCCTCTAACTGAAATTTGTAATTATATTTAATTAAATAGGATAATAGAATAATAATAGAAAAACTTGATTAAATAAACACTAAACTTTGCAACATTTTGAAAGTAAGTATAAGAAGTGAATAAAGAGAAATTGTAAATGTTTCAATCAAAGGTATTAGGAAAAATATATATTAAAACAAAAATGTTATGCATCAACAAAATAAATATCAACTGTGGGTGTTTGTGAACATCTTTAAAAAGAAGTACTGAAAATACAAAAAAGGTAAATAGATGGATTTAGATACGATACAGATTTATGTGCACATTTTATTTGCAGTTTATTTCATATTGTCTTTTTTGTGAAGGATTGATGTGTTGGTGCAAGCAGTGTTTTTTAACAATTTGGAATATATCTGGTAATCAAAATGTAATTAGCCTGTATTTTTTATTTTTTTTTCTTGTTAATAAAACTCTTAAACTATTTAGGCAGAGGTTCATTTAAACATGTCTTGCTTTTAGGATCTGGCAAATCCGCCAGAAAATAGTCACAACAGCAAACAGAATTCATCAAAGGTGTACATTTTAATAGGTATTTGTGAGAGATGATTTCTAGGATCCCAACAGTTGACTATTAATATTGTCTGTTAAACTTTTCTCCTTTACTCCTGTATAAAACTCCTCACACCTCTGATCCTCAGCCTGTTGTGCTGTTACAATAACCCTTAACACTAAACCACTTTCTCCCAGTGCCCTTTCATTCATCCTCCACAACACACTCAGTCTCCCTGCAGTATCAAAATACAAAGATATCATATGGTCTCGCTATAGTACACACTATTTACACCACTTGGCTCTACATACATACCTTTCACATCACCACAGCATTGGGCACCTAAACCAAATTAAAGGCCAGGTTTGAATGGACCCAGGTCCATATAGTGTACATTGGCTAGACCAAAATATTAAAATGTTTTTTTAACTTTTTATACTTCTAAGTTTATTAGCGAAAGAATACTGAAGAATCAATGTGAATAACATATTTTTCTTCCTAATCATGAAAAACCATAGATTAGACCCAGAATCTAGATAAAAAAAAAAGAATTTACCAGAGGGTGCCTGTGTCTCCTTAATGCTGAAACATCCTCTTCTATAGCTGTTGCCATTTATTACAATTTGCTTTCAAGTCAAGCATTAGGTAAAAGACTCTCAATCAGTGTAGTCACTAAAGAACATGAGTGGCTGAAGAAATTCTATATCAGGAATTAAAAATGTTAGGAATTCAGAAAAAAATTGCTACAGTTAGATCTAGATTTGCAATTAACTATTACTATTAATCACCGTGGCCTACCTTCATTCTAAATTTAATCTAGATTCTATCTATAGGGCCTAATTAATTAATTTTTAAATCTAGAATCTAGTAAAACCATGTCTTAAAAATGCTTTACTTTTTACACTTCTTAAAAAAATAAGCTTGCATAGAGTTCAGTACTACAGAGTACAGTGACAGTATCATAGTAGATTTATAGTATAGTTACTAAATACTTTAGTTAGGCCTGGAAGGTTTCTGGAAGAAACTCTGCACTACAGTTACACAGGTCACAGTTATGAGTAATGGAGGGGGCTATGGTGTTGTACAGTATTTATACCATTACCAGTGTCTGTTTATGCCACAATAATGGAATCTTCTTCTAAAAAGGGGTGTTAGATTTAATGGTAGTTAAATAACTGTGTTGAGTTGTTAGTAGGCTAGTATTGAAATCTTGTCTAGTTTTATGGTAAGAAATTAGGTTTGGGTGTATGGTATAACTAAGGTTGGGATTAGGATTGACATTAGGTGTGATCCATTTATGACATCCACAAAAAACTTGAATTTTAGACAGTTCTGTAACATGTATTTTGTGCCATATAATGCCATTTAATTGATAGACCTACTTTAATCAATATAGGCCTAGGGGATTTATTATTTTTGGTAAAGTAGAAATTGTTGATACTATTTGTTTTAACTTAATACAACAAGCCCATCAATTGATTGAGGCCACAACAGGGTTTTGTTCTATCAGGGATACAAAGGCTCGACTCGAAATATTTCTGAAATATCATCCATTTTTTCTCATACCAAATAAGACTCAGTGTTATAGCCTAATCCCCTTATAGATCTAGTATTATTAGGCCTATTCAACATTTATTTTTCGTTTGGAAATAATATCATATAGGCCAATAATAAGTCATGTATGTTAAGTTCATAAGACGACATCCTGCCTATTATTATTAATTGACATCCTGCTTATTAATTAATAATTATTTACGAAGTGACTACTCGGAAAAAGATTTTTCGCCCCAACGTCTCCACCTAAACGGCAAAAGATAGTTCTGTGCATGTGCAGTGAACTATGACTGGGGTAAGGGTTAGGGGTCGTCCATAAATAACGTCACACTCGAAGGGGGTCGGGGAGTCCGTAATTTTGTGACGGTGTGTGATGAGGGGGGTTGTAGACTGATGTGTGACGTCATTTTAAGGGGGGGGGGGGTCTAGCTTTTTGTGACGGAGGGGAGGAGGTAAAAATCGTCAAAAAAAGTGTGACGTCATTCATGGATGACCCCTTAGGGCTATGATTAGGGATAGGGTTGGGGCTAGGGTTCTGTGGTTGTAAACACACGCATGCGCAATACCATCAAAAACATCACCGCGAAGGCAAGTCATTGCGCATGCGTATCTTTTTCCAGCTAGCATCGGCCAATTATTTATTAGGCAATATTATTATTAAGCAATATTTGGGCCTAATATTTAGAATTTAGGCTATAAAAAATCCTATCGCCCAAGTGACTTGGGCTCATGGCCTTGCCTTAAAATCTGTTTTTGTTAATTCTCTCTGACAAAAGAGGTAGATTAGAAATCTAGAATCTTGATTTACCCTTAGTAATAGTATTATTAGCCAAATTAATAATTATTAGCATTAGGCCTACACTGTAATTCTAGTAGGCATGAATTGTCTATAAACTATAAATTAAATCATAAATGATATTAAATTATTTTTAAAATTATACGTCACACTCCTGCTGGAGGAGAGGGTGAGAAATCTCAGAAGTCTGTTTTTCAGTTTTCAGACATCGATCTCGCCAGTCGGTATTAAAAAAGAAAGAGTTTAGGCCTACAAACAATTAAATTTTAACCAATTATTGCAACAGTTTTCTATGAAGATCTATATCTAGATTCTAGATCTAATTCTGAATCTAGGTATGAGAGTTTACGTACGCTTACACTGACGTCGTCCCTACGCTGACAATAAACATTTAAATTTCGGCCTAATCTTCTATTTCTAGATAAAAATCTGGATTGTACTCAAGGTTTCGCTAATTACCGAAAAATAAACCAATGTTCCGAAAATTTCTGTAATTAAAAAAAAAAATATTGCAAATTAAGCTAATCGTTAAAATGTCAGTGTCGTTTTTATCATTTACTTATTTAAAAAAGGATAGTAAATTGGACAGTTTCATAAATTATTACTAAAGTTAACTAGCCCATTTTAAAGGGTTTTTTTGTACGGCAAGCCGAAAAAGCTGCATGCTTTCCCCAATGTTTCGATGGCCACAGACTGGGTTATGAGATAAAATTAAATAAACCTCAGATAAAAAAAAAAGCTGAAATTCAGGGGATTCTCACTAAATAGCTGGAGGACCTAGATTCAAATTTTTGCGGATGGCATCGGCCTCCTTTCACATCGACAACATCACACTGTATGACACTGACAGGTCACAGATCACTTAAGATATTCTTAAACTACAGATCAACTGGGGAAAAAACAGAGGTTATGAGAGCTAACAACAAACAGGAGCTCCCACTTCAGATACAAGAAATGACAATTTCGGATAGTTTATATTTTACTTATTTTAATACAGAATAATAACAACTAAAGGGAAGCTATTCAAACAAATGTATCATTAGTGCTATTTATAGACACAAGTAAGTATCTATTAGGGGAGACTGCTCTAACTTCGACCGGGTTCTAACTTCGACCGATTTCTTAGTATGGTCAGAAAAAAAAATTATTAAAAATTTAATAATTGCCATTGGACAAAATAAATTATATATTTAGTAACATATTTGAATTGTGGGGGATTTTCTTTTTTTAAGGTCATGTCTATTTTTAACCGTTTCTGCGCTTCTGATCGGCAAATATAAGGCACAACTCGTCAGTGAATTTTATCACGTGAAAATCACGAATTGAGATTTTGCTGTCTTAGGAGTGTCGTGCTTCACAATGCTCAAATTACAATTAATTCATACAATAAAATTTAAAAAATTAAAAAAGCGTTTGTAAAAAAGGCAGTCCTATATGTGTGTATTTTTATTTTTTACATTTAAACAAAAATGTAAAAAATAAATTTGAAAAATAAATCGGTCGAAGTTAAAACCACTTGAAATTGGCATAGTTCTAACTTCGACCGACTGAAAAACTTGACCCTAAAACATAACTTTGCATGTACTATCACATTTATCTATAGTTTTATTAAATAATTTAATCAGCTGAGCATTTCTTTTTCATTATACTTAAATATAACTAAAAACAACACAAGATGACATAATTATTGAAGGACCTAACGATCTATGTCCCCATCCTGCCCTTTCTGTCCCATCTCCAGCTGGTTTAAATATCATTATTGCGTCTCTATTTTCTACAAATTAAATATCATTTGTACCATAATATAGATCTGCATATTGTTTATTATAATGCCCTAATCTATTTACAATTTTAAGCCTTTTCCCATATGAATAAAACAATAATGTATATATAGGCTTATAGCGGTCGAAGTTAGAGCAAGCCGCTGGTCGAAGTTAGAGCAACCCGGTCGAAGTTAAAACCAAACAGAACGAAGTGGGGTCAGTGTCTAGCCTTGCATATAGCATTTATATTCTCCCTTGTGATTGGTTAACTATTTATACTGAACCAATCAGCAAATGATAACGTTTTTAATAGTGAAAAAATGAAACCGCTATGTTGATTAGCTTACGAGTTACAACGAAGAGAAGCGAACCTACGGACCGGACGAAAACGAATCGGTCGAAGTTTGAGCAGTCTCCCCTAATAGTTTTGCGGACTTTCTATTTTTAGTAACCAAGATTTCGATATTGTTGTGCAAGAGGTTAAAATGTGTTGAAGCTCTACGGCATTTAAATCTAGATCTATAGTCTCCCAACCTATTAGTGACATTAGCTATACTTTAGGTGTCTGTGGAAATACCATCGAGCTCAGTAAGATCTACAACAATCTACATTCGTTATTTCTGCTGGACACGGTGCGTCCAACCGACCACTGGACACTACTTATACTTTATAGTTAGGCCTACGGACAACAGTTGGTGATTGTGTTGGGATTCTTATTTCGACTTTTAAAACTGTGAACTCAATCATTTTTAAGGTACCAAAATTTTATATTTCAATCATCGGATTTGTTGCAAGATTCTGGCAATAAAGTCCCAGACATGGCTATGCACGCAGGGTCGTTCTGCTCATCTTATCTAGATCTACATCCAAGCACAAATGAGTGGCCAGCTTTGGGCTATACATCAACGATAATAACTTCGGACAGCGCTATTTGTGTAAACCAAAGTGCTGATTCACAGTATTTCAATACTGAACAGTTATTTATAAAAGCAAATGCTTACACATTGGCGGAAGCAGCTGAACTGGTTTCTTTTCTTGAAAATGACATGCATACAAACGGTGGGAATACCCGTTCGGATTATTTACATCAGCAACATCCGCTTCAGCTTAGCAGAGGATTTGAATCACCAGTAGACGAAGCGTCTACTTATAGCAACATGATGACTAAGCCGGCAGATGTTGAAGCTAAGGATTGCGATGTTGTAGGATTAGGTGCAAGTGTGATGGCTGACGATCAGACTGACAGTACAGTGCAGAGAAGGCGCAAGAAAAAACACAAGGTTCGACGGAAAAGTTTCAAAAAATGGAAGCAAGTTGATTCGAGCGAGTTGGGATTTTATGTTTCTTGTTCTGTAGAAATCCAAATTTGTGAAGAAGAAACAGACAATGAGATAACAAAAACTGAAGATTGGTCGTCTGAAAAAAACAATTCACCGTTAAATGTTCTCTTTACCGCGGGAAATTCAGCATCTGATGAGGTGTCGTCTGAGCATACGGCGAACAACATGACGACACAGAGTCAAATTGATGACGCAACGTTCTTTGCTTCTCTTGGCATTGACATTAATGACAATTCTGATGACGTAACAGCAGACGAAATGGATATCAACGACTGGGATTATATTGTTTTAGAGAGGAAAGTACCTGTTCATTGTTTTAGGCATTTAGATCTACCCACTAAAGTTACCAATGACACCAAGACAAAGTCTTCCTCCGTACAAAACAAATCAGCAAAATGTTTGCCTAGCACACGTCTTCCGTATTCAAACGACTTCCTCCCTATTAAAAGATGCGACGTGTTCAAACTACACAACCTTGAATGTGCAAGCAGTGCTCGTGTTTACATCCGGGCAGACAGGGACAGACGTGTAGAGAAGGCACACAAGGCCGTCAAATCAAAGAACTGTAACTCCATCTTCAACAACAAGGGACATAAATTATTATATATGCACCACAGATTAGTGAAAATGCACAATTTATGTTTAGATTTTCGCCAAGCAGTTAAACCACGGTCAATGCCTATGACAACAATATTTGTTGATTTGAAAGCTGCGAAAGAGATTTGCAAGGCGAACAAGAATATGTTACAGCCTCTCCGCCCACCCCCGGCCCAAAACTTGAAACACGCCCTACACGAGACTAACGCTCCACGCCACCTGGAAACGGAACTGGCCAGTTTTCTTATCAGCCTTCAACACCGCGAACTGACGCCAGAGGATTACGATATGCTACTTCGTTTGGACGACTCTGTCAAACCAAAAACTGTAGCCAAAAGTGTTATAAATACTCTAAAAACTGAAAAAATAGAACTAAGTATACTTGACTCCGATGAAATTCTATTTTGCACAATCTGCATGGAGCCATACATAGCTGGACAAGAAAGAAAATTTTTACCCTGTGAGCACAATTTTCATTCCAACTGTATTGACAAATGGCTGGCAAATTCGAGCATGAACTGTCCACTTGATGGCTTGCCAATTGGGTGTTGAATATTAGTCAAATTAAATATTTCAAATTCGATAAGCATTATCAATGCCACTCAAGCCAATATTCTTACACAGATGAATAAACTGATTCAATTATATATTCATGTTAGAATAATTTAATCCTAATGCGAAGGAAGTATGTTCTGATGTTCTTCAACATGTTCTATCTTAGCATGTGTTTACTAATAATGAAAGTTTAAACATTTTCTTTAAATACCAGCCCAGCTAAAAGTACCTCACAAAAATTCTTTTTTTTTTTAAATGTAAAAATAATCTACCTCATTAAAGTTTGTAAACACAATGTTACTTAAACTTAAGGCTTTAAAACAGAAGTTGTAGATCAATTCCTATTATCGGTGCTTGTTTAATGTGTACATGAATGTTTGTAAAAAATAAAACGCATTAAACTATTAAAATTTTGTGAGATCAAGTACTTTTACCTGCTTAGATTTAGAAATAATTGCCTTTCCCGATCGATATGGCAAATGAAGTACTGTAATTGAGTTCATGATTGAAGGGATAATGCTGTGTCTACTCAGTTATGCCCATGAGTTCAGGGTTCAAATTTAGACTCTCAGGCAGGTTAAAATCATCAGGTGTAAGCAACTTGCATGCCAACATATGAGCTCACCTGTACATAAGGGATAGCATGGTTTAACGGTAGTGTTTGACTACTAACCCTAAAGTCACGAATTCAGATACCAGGCTATAATCTGTAGAACGTCATTGAATTCACCCAGCTCTGATGGGTACCTGACTAGAAAAGTAAAGGTGGCTGTGCATAGTACTGACCACACTATCCTATCATGAGCATACTTCACTATGGACAAAAGGTTGGTAAAAGTACTTCATACACAACTTGTTTAGGTTGCTCATTGCTTCTTCTACCTTTGTAGACCATATCTACCAATGGGAAATGCAACAGTACCTTTTAACACAACTGTTCATTAATCAACTTAAAATAATTTAACTGTAATAAGATTCAAAACAACAAAAAAAGAAACAAAATAATTTTTGGGGAAGGAACACTATTTACTAGTATCTTTTTTCAAGATTACAATCATGAAGAACAAGGGTAGATTTACTTTTGAACATGGAAAGGAAACAAAACATCTAGCCTGTTCTCCAGACTTGTAAGGGGACAGATGTGGAAAGAAAAAAAAATTATATGTACAGGATTCCACAAATATCTTTAACATAGCATCAAACATGTCATCATATAACAATATAAAATGGGTGTCAAATTTTTAAAAAGTTGAACATAAAAATATAGGCTGAAAGTTGCCTGGACAAAATAAACAATAGTTGAAATCTGGTGTTTTGTGTGCTGCACACAGCATCCAGTGAGTTAAACACACACACAACCAGACAAAGCTTTAAACCCCCAGAGATCTACAAGCTTACTTTTATTTCACTTTCAGTATAATCAATGCCTCCATACACTGGACTAAGATATTTCACTTTTTAAAAATTGACAAAATTTACCATTTGAAAACAAGGTGACCCCCCCCTCCCAATCATTTCAAAGAAATCAATAGGCATGAAGAAAACAAAGTAAAAACATGGCAAAATTTGGTGTATACACCAAGTGACAATGGCATAAAGTATAGTCTCACTTCTAATGCTCGTAAGTGCAAATGAACACTCAGAATTAACACTGAACACACAATTGTCTAAGCTAATGAAGTGGGTGAAATAAAACCATGAGCAAATTCAAGAATAAAACAGTCAAACTTAAATGTCATAAATTTGTTTTTAAATGTTACTTCACTGAAAATTCATGCAGAAAAAACAACTGAAATGTTTAGTAAGTTAACTGTAGGTTGCTTTTACTTCTGGGAAAATTTATTTGATGGTTAGGTACACATTAATTGGGAACCACTATGTTTTGAGCATTACTTTTGTTCCCTTTAAATCTTTGTTACTCTAACATACATTTTTACAATAAATAAACTTTGTTACAGACAAAATTAGCTAGAATTGAATTTTGAACAACATAATTGAAAAAAAAAATCAAAACTGAGGTTAGTTATAATCATCAAAGTCTTACTTTTAAAGAAGATTGCTTGAGTTATGAAATAAATGGCAGTCCTATAATCTGAACACAATTTGTGCTGATTTTGTAAACCATACTTTTCTGCCATACAAATGTTAATTTAATTGCCCTTTCTATATACAAATTGTAAAGAACATGCATAAAGAATTCTATTATTTTTAACTATTAAATCCCAAATGGATCATCAAAATTGAGAGATTCAGTATACATTAGGTTTCTTTTAGAAAATTACCAGAAATCTTTTAAAATTTCTTTACCTGTTACACGGTAAATCAATACAGGCCTAAGCCATTTTGCTGCCTAGGTAAAAAAAAAAAAATTTAACTGAAAAATTGTGCAAGTTTGTATTAGAATGTAGAATGCCACCTGCAAAATTTAAATCCATAGGAGTTATTCCAGTAAGTAGCGTCTTAATGCTCATAACATGGACTTAATAAAAAATGGAAAATGTACCACGTGTGATGCACTATAATCAAATATAAAAATATTAAAACCAATTAACACAAAATAAAATGTCAATGACAAAAACCTGAGCCAGCACAAGCTGTTGAATGACATCTCCCCACCATATCTCCCATACATCCTCTACTATGAGGCTCCCTTGACCTCTGTGTCTCCATTTGCCTGACTATCACTTGTGCTACTGCTGCCTTCAACATCAACAACTTGAGAACTGTCCAAGTTCTCCACAACTTTGACAGACTCCTCAGTATCTCCATTCTGCTCCCCATTTGTGCATGCTGTGAAACAATGTGCACCTTCTGCCTTCTCTTTGACCAGGCCATTTTCTGACTGCTTGGGTGCATGTCCAAACCATTCCATGTCATCATGGTCCAGCCATTCAATACTGCTAAGAAATTTCTTGCCACTGAAGCCACCCACAGCAAACAGGCGATTGTCTATAGTTACAACGCTGAGGTTGGCCCTGGGAGCAATCAAAGATGGCCCAACACCCCAGGTGTTGTTCTCAAAGTCAAAGATCTCAGATGTCACTAGAGACTGGGTACCATCACTGCCACCAACCACCACCATCAAACCTGGTGATGATAATATTCTTTTAACAACTAAATTCAAACTTTCCTAGCAGGTAAGCTCAATGTGCAATTTATTTTAAAGCCACATTTATTCTATGCTGCATTAAGTTCAAAATGTTAATTGTTACATAGACAACAATTTTTAAAGTTGAAACGTGTTATGAACTAAAAATTTCAAGTCTAGACACAATCTACATGATGTCTATAAGAATTATCAGTAAAATTTGACATATACTTATGAGATTTTAGAAAACTTGAAACTTACCATCAACCAAACCCACACCAGCTCCTCTACGAGCAGAGTTGAGGTTAGAATGTACAGTCCATTTGTCAGAATCTGGATCATACACCTCCACAGAGCTCAGTGAATTCCACAGGTCTGTGCCTCCAATAGCATACACCAGCCCATTTACAGCAACCACACAAGCCTGTGAGCGAGCTTTTAGAAAAAAAAAGGCCAAGTGTAAAGCAACACATATTCTTCCTGACACAAAATGTCATTCCCAAATAAATATTAAATATACTTAGGCTTACCGATATTTAGAGATGCAATACGAGACCATTTGTTTAATGCAGGGTCATACACCTCACAGGTAGCAATGCTTCTCTGTCCTTCACATCCACCAACACAATACAACTTGCCGTAAAGTGTTACCACACCTAGTACAAAAATTGTTTTTCAATTAAAATTATTTTATACATATTTAATTCTTTAATTTAAAGAATAATTCAGTAAAAAAAAAATAACCTACCATGAGATGATCTCTCCTTAAGCATGTTAGGAACATATTTCCATTTATTAGTGCTAGGGTCATATCTTTCAACACATGAAAGTTCTTTCCATCCATCAGAACCGCCGCAAACATATATAAAGCCATTCAATACTGCAGCACTGAAACGACCTCTGGCCCTGTTCATATCAGCCATCTTAGTCCACTGGTTTTCCTTGATTGAAAAGGCTTCAACACTTTGAAGACATTCCCCTCTATCGTAGCCACCTATAAAAATATTTTCATGTGTAACATTTGTGTGTGTAGGCCTATACAGTTTATCCAAGACATATCAATATGTACAAACTTAACAAACAGATAAGTTAACCTACCACAGACAACCAATTTCCCATCAAGTTCTACAGCTCCCAAAGCACATCTTGGAGTTGACATAGGCTGTAGAGGGGTAATGGTGGCTTTTCTCAGAATGGGGCTAAGTCTGTTTTTACCATTGTGTGTGGCTGGTGGGGAGTCTGGTACAGGCTTGCTCCCGTTTGATTCAGAATTGGGCAGTACAACTGGACGTACATGAACTGTTATTGCCATCAAGCGTCCATCAAGCAGGGCAATCGCCAGGTATGCATTTTCTATTTTTTTAAACAAATTTGAAAATGTAATTAATTGAAATTTTACAATTAAAATGAGTTACATTTGAAAAACACAGTTAATGAAAGCAGACTTAAGTTTGAAATCAACACTGAAGCACAACTAGTTAAACTCCTGTACCGTTAACAGTGTTAAAATTTTATCAGAAAATTTCTCCTAACAAAACAGATTGGATTATTAAGAATTCATAAAGTCCTTTGGGTATATAAAAAAACTTGTCAGAGACCATTAACCAACAGTCCCAACTTGTTTATACACATCCTGTGTAAAATAAAACCACATAACTAACCACTAGTTTTGCGAGTGGCAACAATTGACCATTCTCTCTCTGCAATAGACACAGCCTCCTCAGGATTTAAACTGAACTTGTGAAATGCCTGTCCGTTGCCATTAGATGAGCGTGGGCTATTGAGTTTATGAACCTTGTCCTAAAAGGAAAAAAATGGTGAAGCTTAGTTTTATGTCTACCATGCTGATATCAACAAGATGACCATCTCTATAGAAGCAAGAAGATTTGTTGGTTAAGAAAATGTAATATATTTTAAATATCTTTAGATAAATATAGTGACTTGTATATGGTAAGGGACGTGAAAGGACTTAAACTAATAAAAGAAAGTGACTGAGGCAAATCTGGGGGTGTGACATTTTATGACTGCTAGAAAGGAGTATCAATTTTTTAGTCAGCCTTCGTCTAGCCATGTTAGGGAGAGGAAGGTTTTGTCTCACTATCATGTAAAGCAGTCATAATAGTTTGTGGTTTAAGTAGTTTTGTTACAACATCAGATATTTCAATCCTTACCCTTCTGTGTGCTTTTTTGTAATCCTGAACCATATCATCATCACTGCTCAAAACTGTATCCTCAACTTCAGCACAATCTCTCAAAGTGTTATCAGATTCCAAATACAGAACATTTACCTGAAATTGTTATTTTTTTTTAGTTAGTAAACATTTTATTTTCATTAACACTTTGCTTTAAGATTTTGAAAGAAGAATGTTAAATTACCTTTTCAAGTAAACGATCCATCTTTGGTTTTAAATCATTCAAGTTATTTTTAGCCCAGTCCAGGACCAGAGAAAAAAGTCTGCGCTCCATGGCTTCATTTGAAATGTGCTCATCTAGACCTGTCAATTCAAATATTGCTAGTAGTAAAACTTGTTCTCTACAGTAATAATTTGATTTATAACATATAGGTGCAAATTAGAGTAGAATAAAAACCTAACCAAAACTTTTACCCAGGTATAACACATAGAGAAGAAACTTCAAGAAATCATATATCATGAAGGTTTATATGCTTCAATAAAATCAGACTAAAATAACATAAGATGTTTACTAAGCGCACTTACCTACAACCTCAACCTGGAGATCAGTAAGACCAAAGAAAGACTTGCTCTGCATGATGTCCTGCAAGTTAGACCGTATGTACTCATCCACTGCTTGCTTGAAAGCTTTGTCCTTGGTAAAGCGACGAATCCCTGATGATAAAAATATCAATTTCAAAAGAAATTCCGGACAAAGTATTCAACACTAAAATAATGCCTTTCCACCAGTGTCCCAAGGAAGCAAGCTAACACGCGCTATTCTGTTCTAAACTGTGGCTTACAAACTGAGCTAGAAAATAAACAAAAAGATTACTTTCAGGTCAACCTAAAGAGATTATACAATACTCAAGCTTTTAGAAGCTCCCAGGCACCTAAAAAGATTCATTACACAATGCTTAAGTATTTAAATTACTAGAGGCTCCCAGAAGGCAAAGGCCAGTGGCTTTCAAACTCCCTAAACAAAAAAAAAAGCAACTGTAAGTTTCCTCTGAAAGTAGACATTTAATTTAAAGAAATGCGCAGGTTATTGCACAAATGCTAGGAAAAAATCCATTTAAAAAAAAAGTTACCATCAACTGCACATATTGGCAGATGCTAGTCACCCTTAGCCTCGGGAGGTGTACAGGTTTCGGGAAAATTATTGTATAATGACTGGCCTCACCTTAGGATCTATATGAGAAGGAGATGTTCTAACCAAACTGGATCATCATCAACATAGTGTAATGCTGTCTCTTTTCTTTATTATCCTCCTTTTCTCTCGCTTCCTCTCCTTTGAATGCATTCAGACTTACACTCATCTGCTTGTTTAGGAGGATATTCAGAGGGTGGGTCTGATTAGTAGATCACTGACTTTGGTATATCGGTATTGCTCAACGACAACATTGAACAAGTCCAGCATTTACCATCTTTATTTAAACTGACCACATACTGCTAGAATAGTTTTGCTCTTTAAACAAGTTTTGTCTTCATCTATTAGCAAATGTTAATTTAACATTAAAAATTAGTATTAATTACAAAGATATGTTATGTAAAACTTGAAAATTTGATGGCAAAAGCTGGTTAATGTTAATTTTAGTCAACGGCTGTTAAGGAACAAAGGAACAACACAATCCCCTGGGTGTGTGGGGTGAGGAACAGAATCTTGGGCATGTTGGACGTCCTTTCATAAACCTAGCTCTAGAAGTGGTGGAAAGAATGTTGACAAGTTACAAATGATGAGGATACCTAAGCAGTTGGCAGCTGTCAGGTGAGTGGCCAGGAAACTGGAGCAGATCTGTACAGCTGACTCCATCTTGAGGACAAGTGCTGTGGCATAGACAACTGGCACATTCTCCAGTGGAACATGAAGCCTGAAAATAAACATTTGATGTAATGTACACAGTTTATCATGAAAGTAGTTTATAATAAGTGGCTTACACAGATAATTATTTCAAGATTAACATAAATTGACATCTTGAACTTTGAAAGAACAAAGAAATGAGAAACAAAATAAATTATTATTCCTCACCTGCCAGTGTACATATAGTCCAGCAAATAGTAGAAGCCAACGTAAGGGATATTCTTCAGCTTATAGGTGGGCTGGGGTTCAGTGGTCTCCTCTAAGCAGGAGAAAAAGTCAAACAAATAGGGACTGCATGCAGCCAGCACTGCCCGATGCACTTGCAGCTCATGGTCGTCAACAACCAGTGTTATGTCACAAAAATGTCCTTGTTTGCGCAGCTTATCAATACCAGACAAGACAAAGGAGTAGTGGCTGGGTTCAACAAATTCCATACAAACTCCTTCAAGATTATCCAGGTCTAAAGGTTCGGGGGTTTCTTCTTTGCCATTGTTTTGATAGATCCTCTTGGGGAATGTGTATCTGGTCTGGGTGCTGTCGCCATCCCCTTGGTTAGGGTTTGTGGAGGACAACTTGGAATTATTCAAGTACATTTTCGCTGACTCTAGAGGGGGAGTCTGTGACCCGTTGCTATCTTCTAGTAGTTTCATAGATTACAGTACAATCCTGTAATTAAAAGAAATGATCACAAGTTAGCTTTAAAAATACATTTTCACATTCTTACTCTACAAAAAGATACATAAAATTTTGATATTCTAGTTAATGATATTGTAGTGTGCATGACTGCAAACAAAGTCTCAAGTCCATAGCAAGTCTTTGAGTTCACCCAGCTCTTAAGGGTATCTGTGAAAGTAAAGGTGGCTGGGCGTGGTGTTGACCACACTATCACTTCATAAATTGAAGTTCATAGGAACAATTAAACTACACTTCATCTGCACCATGGACAGACATTTAAAGGGGTAAAAACAGACCTTTTAACAGTCTTTATAACCCTCCCTCACACACAGGCACACTTTTCTATTTCCTTTATACTTTGTTGCTACAATTACTGAGCAGCATTCTTAATGTTAATTTCTTCATTATATTTTTTTTTAAACCCACAAAACAATCAACAGCCAATGTGATAAACCAAAAAGTAGCAAAGGCAAAATTTTATTTGTATTGTATTCTATATCATGGCAAAAAGGCTAAATCATAAAGCAATCAGTATTCATTTTTATAAAACTTATTTCCTGCGGATGTAACAAATATAAAATGTATTCAGTTTACTCAAAGGAAAGAGATTTAAAATGAGAAGCTTACAACATACATTTGAAAACTATTCAAATTGAACAAATTAAACAACACTTTAAACTGGCAGAGAAAGACAAATCCCCAATTATTTTTTTTTAAATTGTCACTGTACACAGCATCTTTCCAATATACCAACAGAAAGAACGGTAATTTCATATAGATCTAGAATCTAGATCTAATTTAAATAAATGGTCGAGATATAAAATTATCAAGCAAGTTCCAGTAGCTCTAACAAAGAACAAGTCTTGTGAAAACCACTACACATATCACAACAGGCCATTCAGTCAAAAGGTCACTAGCTGCCGCATACAGCACGTGACACGCCTAAACAAGGGGTGGGACACTGGGGTCTTGTGTCACACGAGTGTACCCGGCCTAAGTCAAGGTCATTCCCTGAGTGCAAGCGAACACAGCTGACCAGTTGTGACACATTTCACAGATGGCGTCCTTGGCAGCATTGAATTAACATTTTCCTGTAGTGAAGGCAATACTAGAATCTACTACATGACTACATGTATTCAAGGGACAAGGCTTAACCCAAACTTATATTAAATTACTGAACGTATTTATAATAGTGTAGCTATTCTCATATATTATGATATATGGACTAAGTCTAATATGAGTATTATTAATCAATGATTAGATTTTAGATCTAGATGTCTAGATCAGTCCCTGATGCCTAGCTTAGGCCGGCTTAGGGTTTAGATTAGTTAGATCTAGATAGATAGTTCTAGAAAATCTAGAAAGAATCTAGATCTATATCTATATCTATAATCTATAGGCCCCTAGAAACTAATCTAGATCTAGATCTAGAATCTAGATTTTCTAGATTCCATTTCCGAGTAATGAAGTGACAGTCACAGTGAAACTGAAATGGACAAAGTGGTGTCTAGATCTAGATTAAGAATCTAACTAGAATCTAGAAAACTAGATCTAGATTTATAACCTAAAATTAAATCTAGATCTAGATTCTAGAATCTAGATCTAGATTCAAGATCTAGTCTAGATTAGGTTTCTAGACTAGTCTAGCTAAATCTAGATCTAGATATTAGATTTAGAACACAGCAGTGTACCCAGATGCAAACACAGGAAACTGTAACAAAAGAAAGAAGGAAGATCATGTCCAATTTTGGATTCTAATTTTATTATTATGATGGCGGTCTCGAATACCGAATAGGAAGGTTTCTCTCAACAACAGTAGCCATTGAATGATGATAGGCCCTCCTAGGATACATAGGTCTATAAAAAGATAACATTATTAGTTCTAGACTAGATTAAAAACTCACCGTTATGTTGGGCATAAGGAGATTTTAAGACACGACTAACTGAATAACATATCCGACGGTACAATACCACGTGTATCTGTAGACTCAAATGACGTTTCAGCACACACACGTACACCATAGGCTAGCCTAGCTGTGCGCGCGCAATCAGCCACCACACCGCTAGAGCAATGCAGACTTTCCCGCCACAGGCCGTGAAATATCCGGAGATCGTTGACCTCATTTAACGCTGTGCGACTACTGTGTGTTTACAATAGGGGCAGCGAGGTCGGTGAATAACGGGTTCGCAGGACCACGATGGCGAACGATGTTGTCGCCCATTTAAACTATGGTCCTCATGTCTATTCAAAACACTATTAACATATAATAAATATATTGTTTATTAAACGCGTACTATTATACAAACGATAAAATAATAATTAGCTTAACTGTTAGGAAAAACAGCATCTTAATTTTGTTTACCATAGTTATAGTAGGATAAATATTTTAATTATTCATAATAATAGGGGTTACGAGGTGCAACTAGACTAATTCAACATGGAGGTTTTTTAAGGTCTGATAAAAATAACTTGGTCTAGTGTCAGCTTCAAGCAGTACAAAAATGCCTGATCCGCCGAGCTGTGTACTCCCATGGCTACATAAGAGAAACGTGGGTTCCTGTTTAACTGAGCTGTTTAGTGTAAGCCTGAGTGATGTTCTATTTTAGGCGAACGCGTCTCGTTGGCGTTGAAAAAAAAAAAACTCACTATAAACATGCAGTGGTTAGAAATGAGCCAATCACAACAGGAGTACGTGATTTTTACAATGTACTTTAAAGACGACTGATGAAATAATCTTTAAAAAGATTTGGATACAAATGGATGTACCAGTGGCGTAGCGAGGTCGGGTGTCACCCGGTGCGGCACTTAATGGTGTCACCCCCCCCCCCCCCCCAGAGGCATAGAGACCCTTCCAAGGGACAAACTTTCAAACTTTCGATTTGCACCCCCCCCCCCCTCAAACTTTCGATTTGCACCCCCCCCTCGAGTTTTTCTCTATATATTTTGCTATTTTTTGCCTTGGTGTCACCCCCCTAAATGGTGTCACCCGGTGCGGTCCGCACCCCCCGCCCCCCCCCCTCGCTACGCCCCTGGGATGTACCCCTGAATAGTAATTGTTCATGTCTATTAATAAGCGATTATCAAACAATCCATATGTATAAGATAGCAGCCTAGTCGAGATACAACTGATCCAAATGAGATACTGCGTGAAATAATGTAATCTTATCTAATACGGTAACCATCGTATCGTGGCGAATGGAGTTATCTATTTAATCTGCGTGCAATGTATCAACGTAGAAAATCCTATTATCTGAGGCATCGACGGATCTACCCAAGATAATCACGAGGTGGGGAATTGCCGGTGACTAATACAGGATCCTTATGATGAGCTGATTAATAGAATAATTTGTAAGCGTGTTATACAGTCACAAGGGTTAATTAATACAAGGGTTTGCGCGTAATACAGTTAAAAAGGGTTAATTGATACAAGAGTTCACTCGAACTTCACATTTTGTCATCGATGGGCCTAAATATTTCAGTCAGAGTTTCTTCCAGGCATCTCTTCGAACGAAATGGAATGTATAGAGAAAATATATACTTTTACCAGTGCCCCCTCCCCACCCCCCTCGAAAAAAATCTGGAAGAAACACATATTTTAGTTCAAAATTAGGGTCCTGCAACTGACTGTATAAAGGTCACGATGGTATTGTTTGCAGGTCTTTGTCCATACATTTGAATGTAACAATTTTACTTTTATCGGGGTGTTTACCCCCCTCCCCCGCCCATACAGAGAGATGCCTGAAACACAGACACATCGTTTGCCCATCCCGACACGTTGGAGCTCTGTTACCCAGCCAAGTCCCTTTCTACACCACGTCACTATTGCACGTCACTATTGCACGTCACTATTGCACGTCACTATTGCACGTCACTATTGCACGACACTATTGCACGTCACTATTGCACGTCCCTATTGCACGTCCCTATTGCACGTGACTATTGCACGTGACTATTGCACGTGACTATTGCACGTGACTATTGCACGTGACTATTGCACGTGACTATTGCACGTGACTATTGCACGTGACTATTGCACGTGACTATTGCACGTGACTATTGCACGTGACTATTGCACGTACATCTGCACGGCAGTGTACTTGGATTCCACGGTGTTAATAGATATGAACCAACAGCCATACACATGGGTCAAACAGCCAAACACATGGGCCAAACAGCCATACACATGGGCCAAACAGCCAAACACACGGGCCAAACAGCCAAACACACGGGCCAAATAGCCATAAAAATGGGCCAAACAGCCGTAACTATGAACAACCAGAAACATGGACCAATAAAAATGCGACCGAACAGTTATAAACATGGACAGACAGCCATAAAGATGTACAGTCATAAACAAGGACAAAAGTTTCAAAAGAAGACCCACACAAATAAACATCGCCCTGATGTAAATTCTACTACTTAAGCTCGGAGCTTATTTATACATTGAGCTCCCATGCAGCCGTTTGTTACCACGTGTCTCCCGTCCAAGAGATCACAAGCCGTCGTCTGGTGCCGAGCAGTGCCACAAAACATGCAGTGCTTTCTGCGTTTGATGCTGAGCCATAAGGGGGGGGGGGGGATGTTAGCCGCCAAACAGCATCGAATGTTTACAGTCCTGTCATTTTATACAACTTTAGTACAGAGTTAGTTCTTTTATTATTTTCATGCTGAGCCGTAAGGGGGTTTAGCCGCCAAAAAAATATGACATGTTAACAACTTTATTACAGAATTAGTTGTTTTATTATTTTTTAAATAGTGCTGTTCACCTTCTTTGTGTGACAGTGGCGGATAGTGAAGCTCTGTTTAAGCGAAAGATTTACAATATGCCAGAGGAAAACAGGGAGATCTGCCAGGGGAAAAGATGGAAGTGCTGAAACTATTTCTACAAGGGAAAAGATGGAAGTGCTGAAACTATTCCTACAAGGGAAAAGATGGAAGTGCTGAAACTATTTCTACAAGGGAAAAGATGGAAGTGATGAAACTATTTCTACAAGGGAAAAGATGGAAGTGCTGAAACTATTTCTACAAGGGAAAAGATGGAAGCGCTGAAACTATTTCTACAAGGGAAAAGATGGAAGTGCTGAAACTATTTCTACAAGGGAAAAGATGGAAGCGCTGAAACTATTTCTACAAGGGAAAAGATGGAAGTGCTGAAACTATTTCTACAAGGGAAAAGATGGAAGTGCTGAAACTATTTCTACAAGGGAAAAGATGGAAGTGCTGAAACTATTTCTACAAGGGAAAAGATGGAAGTGCTGAAACTATTTCTACAAGGGAAAAGATGGAAGTGCTGAAACTATTTCTACAAGGGAAAAGATGGGAGTGCTGAAACTATTTCTACAAGGGAAAAGATGGAAGCGCTGAAACTATTTCTACAAGGGAAAAGATGGAAGTGCTGAAACTATTTCTACAAGGGAAAAGATGGAAGTGCTGAAACTATTTCTACACGACATTATTGGAGGTGGATGAACTCGTTGGGAAAATGTGAAGGGGCGGGGACAGATAACAGGTTTTTTTAAAAGTGGATAATCTTATCACATACCATATGGCAGTGCTGTCTCGTTGTCAGTTGTTTAATGAATCGGTCTCAAGACATGATTGGGTCAGCCGTCAATACACTGTAGCATTGATTGATTGGGTAAGGCATCAAAACACTGTAGCATTGAATGATTGGGTAAGCCATCAATACACTGTAGCATTGAATGATTTAGTCAGCCATCAATACACTGTAGCATTGAATGATTGGGTCAGCCATCAATACACTGTAGCATTGAATGATTGAGTCAGCCATCAATACACTGTAGCATTGAATGATTGAGTCAGCCATCAATACACTGTAGCATTGAATGATTGGGTCAGCCATCAATACAAGCTAGCATTGAATGATTGAGTCAGCCATCAATACACTGTAGCATTGAATGATTTGGTCAGCCGTCAATACAAGCTAGCATTGAATGATTGAGTCAGCCATCAATACACTGTAGCATTGAATGATTGGGTCAGCCATCAATACAAGCTAGCATTGAATGATTGAGTCAGCCATCAATACAAGCTAGCATTGAATGATTGAGTCAGCCATCAATACACTGTAGCATTGAATGATTTGGTCAGCCGTCAATACAAGCTAGCATTGAATGATTGAGTCAGCCATCAATGCACTGTAGCATTGAATGATTGGGTCAACCAGTGGCGATCAACAATCAATACAATGTAACATCTAATAAATCAGCGTATCCTACACGACCACACCAAGAGCGTGTATTCATACTGTTGGTTGACATCACATGACCAAGAACAAACTATTTTTTTTTACTGCTGCAACCTACACACAAAACCACCACAGCGTTTCATGAAGGGATCCCAATATAAAATGGCGCCTGTTAATGCACCAATCAAATCCATCAACAAACACAAACAAAAAAATAATCTCCAACTAATTGCCTTCACCGCTGATGTTAACGAGATTATCTCCTCGGTGATTTATTCTTGTTTGTACAACCACAACAAGGCCACCACGACGCAGAGGGTCAGAGGACACGATTTGTTTTTAAACATAAGGTTTACAGTCGCTAGGTAGACGTTTGGCACACTTGTCATTTGACGCCATAGTCATTTGACAACCATCTCTTGACGCTGCTATCACTTCAAACAGTCATTTGACATAGCTGTCGTTTAACAGTTCATCTTTTCCCGTTCGTGTCAAAGACACCATGGGGCAGATGAAGTAGAGTTCATCTGTTTCAATGATCGGGTTCTCACTTGACATCAATCATTAGCTACCAATCATTATGCATCTATCACCAGACACCAATCATGACACCAATCATCATACAGCAATCATCAGACACCAATCATCATACATCAATCATGACACACCAATCACAAGACTCCACAAGTAGTTACCAAAGCAGACGGACTTCATTAATTTTTCTAATAATTAAAAAATAATTTCAAATTAAGTATGGAAGATACATCAGTGTCCAATCTTGAGAAATAACGGCCTGGTCAAGAGGTTTTAAAAACTAGAACACCTTATCAAAGCCGCGTCGCATAAATAGGCTACA